GTTTAATTCTTTTAAGGTGATAAATAAAGAGTATAAATTTTGAATTAGTTATAACTTTTTATAAAAATTAAGTAACTCTAAACGTTTTTATCGATTTACCGAATATTATGATTTTGTAGATACGAGGTTTACACAGAAACGGGACGATTTGTCGATATAATATTTATTGGAAAAGTTATAACTTTACCTACTACCAAGTCTTTGTCTTTTGATATTTTATTATTTTTATTTTTATAATTTATAATTTTCTTTAACGATCTCGAAAAATGTTAATAATAAAGAAAAAAAAAGTTTTTTTATTTGCTACTGATAAAAAAAAAAAAAAATAAACTTATATCAAGAGAAAAATTCTTGATCTAAGAAATTATTTTTGATTCAAGTAAATTTTACTCGGTTTAAGAATTTTTTTCTTGAATCAAGTTAATTCTTTTTTATCACGGTAGCTTATATTGCGCCAATCTTTGAGTATGAGATTCGGAAAAAAAAGTATTGTATAAAAATCATAAAAACTGAAAAAGCTGAGAAAGCTCAGATCACCGTTAGCGTCAGCGTCAGCAATACCTATCCTATTTTTTTTTCGTTATTTCTTTATTTTTATTTTTATTTTTTATCGATGTACGGTTCGGTTGAGCGCTTTCAGGAGTTTATTTTTCCAAGCTAGTCGTTCATGCCATTGAGACTTCTTTTACCTTTCGTGACCGCCGAGTAGAGAGATATCGCGCGCGAAAAAAAAAAAAAAAAAAAAAAAAAGTAACAATAATAAAAACAATATCTTTACTTTTTTTTCACTTTTTTAATAAATTTCGATTAATATCGACTATATCAATTTATAAGATTCTAATATCTATTATTACTCTTATTATTATTTTCACCTCTTGCGTAAGCTTTATGAACTTAACTCATCTTTTATTTACTAAAAAAAAATATTAATTTTTTCTTTGTCTATAGACAATTTTTTTATAATTTTAAAAGTTTTGATCATTAATTTATAACTCATTTTGCGTTCATTTTGTAAATTTATTCATATAATATAAAAATCATATATTATTTTTTAATTAAAATAATTTTTTTTATTCTATTAAGTTAGTAAAAAAACGTTTTAGTCATACAAAACTGTAGAGTGCATGAGTTACTTTAGAATCTCGGTAATGGATGACTGATGTACATTGCAATATAATAAAATTATTTTATAAATGCTGTAAAAGATTTTAGAGCTGACCGAACATGACCCTTTTACCGTAAATAAGTCAACTCGACGACACGCGAGAAAAAAAAAAGTAAATTTAACAACGAAACTTGTGTCGAACAAGACCTGAACTTGTCGCTAGTAAGTAAGTAATTAATTATTTATGATTTTCATTTTGTTGTAATATTAAACTAAACAAAGGTGTAAAATGACTATAAGATAGAATAAGGTTGAATTTGAAAAAAATTTTTAAATACAGTCAATACAGGTTAACATGAACATGAATAACTAGGATTATAATAAAAATAATAATATTTATAAATGTTAAAAGAGGCGGATGTATGTGTATGTGTATGTTTGTCCTCGACCCATTCACGAGAATGTCGACTCTCACTGATTCTCTTGATGTTTTACTCTCATCTCTTCTTCATCTTCTTCTTCTTCTTCTTCTTATTATTATTATTATTATTATTATTATTATTATTATTATTATTATTATTATTATTATTATTGTTATTTTTCTCTCTTTTCTTTCTTTTCTTCCTTTCGTTTATTCTGTCATCCACTAGGTGAAAAGGTCAAGGTGCACTCTAAGCACTCTTTAACTTGATTTTACATTTTTTTTAAACAATTATCGATTCTTATACCACTTTCTTTAATTGTTTTGATTCAAATAAAATATTACTATTATCGTTTTTTTTTTTTTTTTTTTTTTTTTTTTCATTTTAAATTAATCCAAACTTTAATTTATAAATAATCTTAATTAAGTTATCAAATTTAGTATAAATAATTATATGAAAAAAAAAAAAAA